TGAAAACGAACTCGACTGCAGATGCAACAGTTGCATCTTGTGATACATGCATTTAGAAACTGCATGTATCACAAGGGAGGTTTTAGTTATTTTTGTTTGTCAGGTTTTTTTAACAGATGGAAAGACATGTATTTACATTCAAAGCGGACTTAACACAAACACACTGTAAATCAGTCAACAGATGAGAGAAAAGCAAATGCAGAGGACAGCGTTGGCGACCATTGTTGTATGACTGCACTGGTTCTTTTTATATGACGTGCAATGTAAGGTAACACAAGCTATGCAATAGTTGCGTTTTTATGTAATTGAATTTAACACTGACCTGATGTAGGTGTATTTCTATCAGTTTCTTCAGTGTCAGTGCTGGTGTGTTAAGTTTTCTTTTTGCGGATCATGAGTTGAGTAAGAAGTTTTGTGGGATTGACATAAACTGCTGTGTTGAGCTGCATATCACTTGAGAGGACATTTTAAAATGTGAACCAGCACATTTTATTTTTAACTACATCTTTAACATTAATATAATTGATTACATTGTTATTAATTGGTGTGTAAATAATAATAAATCTGATACAACCATGTTCACACCACAAGACTTTTTTCCCTAATTTTGTTACTGTAAACCAAAAAGCTTTTTTTGCCTTTGAGCCGGTGTCAGCCAGAGTCCGGAAGCAAAATGTCATGGGGTTCAGCCTCGTGCACACATTATCTAACACCTTGAAGGAATTTCTTCACAATTTGGCACGCATATGTTATCAGAATTAGTATTATTATTTGAACCGATTAGATTTGGTGGTCAAAGGTCTGGGAGTCTAGAAAAAAATGGCAGAGTCATACAAACACAGGATGGTTATTCTAGTTCCTGTAAAATCTTTTCAAAGTGTAAAACTGAAAGACACAGAGATGTAAACAGCTTGAGCAGCAGAGACAATGGTTATACTGACAAAGTCACACGAACATCAATTAATTCTCAGGTCACTCATAACCACACCAGCTGTACAAGTCCTGCCACTTCTTATTAAAGCATTATTTTGGTAGGCACACAGCCACAAGTGAAGATCTGAAAACAGACAAAAAGCAGTGATGGACATCTGCTGCAGCCTGATAATCTGGGCGTGTGAGCATTAGTCTGACTTTGTTGTGGCGTCTGGTGACATTTATCAGATTTCACTAATGGGTGTGTGTCTCGTCTAGTGACTGAATTCCTGCTGCAGTTCATGTGTAACCTTGCATGATCATATCCGCAGGCTTTAATTCTCTGCAGGGCAGCTCACATTTACTCACCTTACACCTTCAGTGCTTCCTCTACATTGTGTTGGCATCGCTCCTATTTTTTATCTGTTTTTAATGATAAATCAATCTTCCATTTTTGCAGAGTAACTCCAGCTAACAAACAATGCTTTTCACTGAGAGGGTTAGAAAATACTGGGCTGGAGAGGTGTGTTCGTGTTGTTTCTGCTTTACAGAAGTCTCACATCACAGTTTGTCGGGGGATACAGGACACACAATGGATGGGACACTTGTAAGAAATCTATACAGTCTGCAAAAGATGTGAACAATTTTGTGTTGTGCTTCACTGAAGGGTACAACGTGACACTGAAGTCGACTTCACACAGTGGATTGTGCACATTGACTGTCTCTCAAGTGAGATTTATCTTCATCCTGTTCTATTTTCTCAAAATGAATTATGAACTAGAATTACCATCCTATGGTTGTATGCCTCTGGTAACCAGTGCAGCTTTAATCGATGTTTTTCTTCTTTCCAGACTCATATGGTCACTGCGACCTTTGACCTTTTATAATTACTGAACTATAATCAGAAAATCTTTGACTCCAAGTGAAAACTGGTCAAACTTTGAAATAATAAGGCAGACTTGAGGTATCATGATGAAGAGCTCAACTTACTGCTTAGAAAAAAATGTCTCAGTCAAATTGTAAAGGTCAATTTATTACAAATGTCACTGTGGATAATATCCATGTTGCCACATCCATATTATTATGCATAATTGCCATCAGGCCGTGCACTAGAGGAGTATCTAGTGTATGTTCTTCCACTAATAAAGACAATTCTGCCGTTTTGCACCACTTCAAACTTTTGTTATATTACTGAGTAAGCAACAATTGAGGATGAACTTTGGAAAATATTAACCTTTGGTTTTCTTTAATGCTCAAACACACGGTATGAGGGAACTTATAGATTTGATTTGGCAACGTAAACGAATAACCACCAAAACCATTCATTTTCCCTTTTTACCTGTTCTCATCCAAAGGTTGCAGCTAAATCCCGAATGGAGAAAGGAAATACTTTGACAAGGAAGAGACAAAAAACATGCATGACAAAACTAGAAATTCTGTGCATACATCACAGTGACCATGACCTTTGACCTCAGAGTTGTAGTCAGGTCATCCTTAAATCCCACTTTTGTACCAAATCTGAAGATATTCCCTCAAGGTGATCTTGAGATATCGTGTTCACACAATATGGCAGGCCCCTCTGGCCCCTGGCTGTCACCGATGCAGAGGCATAAAAATTGTATATTTACAGCCTGAAGGAAATGACTAGAGGAAATGGGAAAGAATGAATTGACTCTTGTTCCAATATGTGTGAACTGTTATTAACAACGGATGCTTATAGAGTGGAGATATCTGATCATCAAAAGCCATTTGATGACAGAAAAGCCAGTTTCCCGCCTCACACACGCTCACAGTGAGGAAGTCAGCTGCTGCATAGTTACACCAGATACTTAGTATTGGTTGAAAAAGGCTCTAAAGTTGTATTGGATTTCTAGTGTAAATACATTGACCTGTTTTATTGCTATTGCAGAGCAAAAAGGGCCTTTCCAGGTGAGTGAAAAGAAAAATAATGGGTTCACAGATGTAGTGGTCCGTTGTTTCCTTTACGCACATCCTCCCAGTGCATCCGTCTCCCAATCAATCAGTGAACACTGTTATCACTCTGGGATTTTAGGGCCACATCACTCACACTCAAAGGTTTCGGTATAAAAGGTTGAGATCAGCTCAGAATCCCCAGATCTGCACCAGAAGCTTCACATCTCTTGGACGTCGTTGTGAACATACTCATCTCATCTCCACAGGTACAGTGTTGTTCTCATTTAAAATAGTTATTACAAATTAAAAAACGTATTAATTCTACAAGAAATCTGTTTATTCTATGCCCAGACATGTCAGGGAAAGTTATGCTGTTGTTTGCACTGCTGGTGGCTCTGCTGGTGTGCGGTGCGGCCTCCTCACCTGCAGCCCCTGCGGCTGGACGGGCTGAGACGACCAGCACACTCCAGCAGCTCCTGGCGAAGAGGGAGAGAGCGAGGGACTCGGCTCACAGACGGGAGGCGGCGCCTCAGACTCGCTCTGCACGGATGGAGAGACGGGCACACCTGTCTGAGGATGAACGGGAGATTATGACCAAGCAAATAATGCAAGCAATTTCAGGTATGCTGTGGGCTGTCAAAGTTATTTTCTGTGCGGTTGTGGTTTTCCTCTTAGTGAGATGCATGAGCTTGAGGACGATGGTCTGATATGTGAACTGAATCGGTGTGTGTGGTTCACGTAGGACTGGTTTGTTCACAGAGGTGATGAACTCTGAGTGCATGCTGGATCGGGACTACCAGGGCTGGGTGGACTTTGGACGCCGGGACGCAGAGTGAGACGCCACGATGAGGACCTCAGAGCTCACCCTGCTTTGTGTCCAGATTTTATATTTAAATGTTTTACTGTCCCTGCAACTTTACAAATAAACTATTTGGCAGAATGATTGCAGTGTTTATCTGTTGATTCCAGAGGAAACACAGAGGCATGTAGAACTGTACTTGATGAAAATGCAACGTTTTATTCACAGGTGGTTCAGTTTACACACACGTGATGCTAACAACAGAGACTATACAGCAGAGAAACAGTGGTTTGGTTGATGAACACAAATTATTACAACCTGTGTTTGATTTATTCCCTTTTTCATCCACCGTATCCTATGCCTTTTACCTGCAGGAGATTGAAGAACCATGCTGTTTAAATTCATATTAATAACTTTATTCTACTGGTATTTCTGTTAGAGAAGATTTCCCTGAACACCACGGAGAATTCACTTCAAATGCCCCACAGGATTTTTGATTTCATTTACATCCCAGCAGTTTCAAAAGTTCCTGATGACATTAAAATACAGCAGCTTTGTACATGCAGGATTTTTCAGTCAGTACAATCAATCAATACTCGTATTGCTTCTAAAACTCCCATTGGCTGTTTTTGTTGCCGCATTGGCAGACCTGATTTGTTTTTCATTTTTATTATTTGCTGAGGTTCGGCTCAAGATACATTTTAAGTCATGAGTCAAGATTTTGATGCGCACGGTCCGCAGCCATGACGACATGTGCTGTGTGAAAGCAGGTGATGAACTGCAGGGCAGAAGTCAGCATGATCGACATTTAGTTCAGTCAGCGTCATCGCAGTGCTTCTTGATTCATTTGATGCTATTTGACAATGCTATATACAACATGCTTTTTTTCAGTGTAGCAGCTAATGAACAGGAAGACCAAAGTGTAATTTAGTGCATTTGAAAGGTCTTCAGTGACAGAATTGCTTTGATTTGTGGTTTGAACTAATCACAATAAAAAGACGTGCAATGAATTATCAACTGTCCCGTTGTTACTTATACTTACAACTTGACTTTTTTCACTTCAGAAACAAACAAAGAAAGATGGTGAGTTGTTTTTTTAAAACTGGTGGCAGGAAACTGTAAAATGACATTCAGAAAACACAATATAAAAAGTTCTTTTTTTATGATGTTTCCTTTTTTTTGTGTAAAAAGAAATGTGTCAGTCAGACGGACTGATCAGGTGATTGTCCTGAGATGAAGATGTTTTACACACGCACGCACACGCACACACACGTTTATCTACTGTACATGACTTCATACAAAAGAACAGTGCTATACACAACGGACAACTCAAAGTATGGCTCCTGCGCATTCTGCGTCTTTTGTTTTTTCTAGACACCAGTGCAATGTCACATGGCTCCACGCAAAGTCACTGCGGTGAATGAAAGAGGAGTGAGGGGAGAAGGTCAAACGTTTGGAGGATGCCTCGCTGCTTCTCTCTCCTTGTTACTGCGGCCCATAATCCCCCAGGCTGCCACCCTGTGCAGCCCCAGGCTCTGAAGCTTCCCCATGAGGTTCAAGCTGAAAATATTCCTTCCTGCTTCCCTGTCCGATGACGAGACTCCACCCTTGTCGTTTGCTGTGAATGGAGGTTTTGTATTGTAGCTGCTGTGCAGGAGGTGGTGGGGATAAAGAGCGGCTGAGATGCCGCGCTCTTGCAGCACCTGCAGGAGTCCCGGTGATGAGGTGCTTATGTTTGTAGTGGTGGCGATGGTGGTGCTCCTGCCTCGTTTGCCAAAGTGCTGCTGGTGGGCTGGAGATGAAGTGTTCACATGCTCAGAGCTCCGACAAGGTGGCAGGCCGAAAGAGTGAAGGCTGCACAGAGAAATAAAAAGATTAAACAACAAACGTAACTTAAATTACAAAACAGAACACAATACAAAACAGAATGATGTGTGCAGTTAGTTCAGCTTTTGTTAGTTACTCACTGCTGTGAAATGAATAAACGTGATGTTAGTGTGGTTGCTAGGATAAAATACAAGTATGTACAAAATACAAGTACAAATACAAGTAAGAGCAGATGAGACAGTACAGCTGTTTTCAGACATGAACTCCAGATAATGTCCGCACAATTGGGTCCAGGCTTTCTCCGGAGTTCTCCTTTCACATATGACCAACGCAGCAGGAGATTCTCCACCTGTTGCGTTCACAACACAAGAATCTCAGCAGTGTTTCAGTGAGGGCTGGTGCAGTAGGCAGAGGCAGGAGGTTACATTAATTCCTCTGTGAAAATCAGGTCTTTTTGTTTAGAGCACATCGACACCAGCGTCTGCTCTTATCACCAAACGCTCTTTTGACATCTTCCACTGTCGTCTACATGTATGGCACCACTTTTTCATTCTGAGATACTTGTATTCTTTTTCCTTTTTGCATCTGTCGTGTGTTAGAAACGTCATAAACACACTCACTCGCGGTGAATGCTCCAGAGTATCTCCAGCTGTATTGAGCTCATGTGGCTCTGAACATCCTCTGGAGTTTCTTCTGCCAGCAGCCTGGCAAAAACTCCAGAGAATGTCTGGGGCCTCTCAGACATTTGCATTCTCACATACAGCACCTCCAGATGATGTAAGGAAATTATCCAGAGTTAAGTGCATGTCGAAAAGCAGCTAGTGTTAGTAAGAACTAAGGGTGTATATTTCACAAAGGCACTGAACATGTTTTTTTCATGAATTAGCGAGGAACATGTAAATTAGGTCATAGAAAATGTAAGTATTGGAATTTCAGACTATTTACAAAGTCTTCCCTCGTGAGAATGTAGGCCAAACACCTTCTTCAAATATTAACCAAGACGCTATTTAGTCAGACAAACAGGGTACAGTGCGTCCATGGTTGATATCCAAGACATTTATCGAGCATTCATCATGCATCTGCCCCCAACTCTTACTTTTCCCCGAATGCTCCTTCTAGAGTTGGAGAAAGAGCCGCGACAGACGTTTTCTGCCACTGTGAGGGGTAAAGTACAGAGGAAGGTGAAGAGATTAATAAAGCAGCAGGATGGAAAAGATGAAATCTGGAACATCTGTTTTGAAACAAAGTTGTGGATTAATGATCATCACATCAGTACAAAATCTAATTCAAGCTCAAATGTAGCTTCATTATCCAGGATGGAAATTCACCAGGTCAGAGCTGTGAAAAATAAAGACAACACAACAATGGTGAAAAGAAAAAAATCAGTGTGTATTCTTACCTAGTAGAGAAGGAGGAGATGAGGAGGGAGGGTTGGAGGACTTGGCAGGTGGTAATGGTATGTGTGGGAGAGGTCTGAGGGAGGTTAGGACCAGGTGGAGAGACTGTGCGATCATGGAGGGAGAGAGGCGTGTTAAACTACACATGAAGATAAAGCAGACTAAGATGAGAAACTACCTAGGTTAAATAAGGATGGAAACTACATGAAGGCTATCTTGAAAAACTAGCAGCTACTTCAAGCAGAAATCAGGGTTTTCATTGAATATACATGACAGAGGTGGAGGAACTGTCTGAATGTAACGTGTGTAGTCAGTGTGTTTACATGTGTCGTACCCATGCTGTGCGCTCCAGAGAGCTGCGACAGGTCGGGTTCATCCTCCTCCAGGTCATTCAGGCTGTAGACGTGCTGTATGTCCACCTCGAGCTCCCTGAAGTCTTTAGTCAGGACACCGGGACGTGGATGCAGGATGCCGTCCAGGTTTGGTTTGGCCAGCTGCTGCCACTGATGTAGAGTCACAGAGCCTGAGGGACAGTCACAAGGAACAGAGTGTTGTCATACAAAGCAGGCACATCACAACTAAATGAGATTTAGTAGTTTCACAAATGAGTCTAATAAAAGTGAATCTTGCTGTAACAAGTTGAGAGAGATGAGTGAGGCAAGATGGTGTGTGATCCCCCAAGAAGGAAGGAAGATGTGAACCAAAGTTAAAAACTATGATGACTGTTACTTTTGCAGGTAAGTGCAATGAAAACTGAATTTTGGTGTATTATGTTACTCCGAAGTTAAAAGGTATGTTGTGGGTTATTTTTGTTAGCAATAAAAGTTCATTTTCAGTGTTTCTCAGCAAAATGCATTAAACATTTCTTCCTCATAAAACATTTGCAAAGGTTGTGAAGAATTTGAAATGAGCTACCAGGGGTTGTTTCAATGTATGTATAAAAATACATTTCATCAACTCAAATCTTATTGACTGTTGCCACATCATATGCTAACACTTTTTAATTTAGTAATTCAACTTTTGGCTTGCTTCCCTTTAGGTGTTTCATTTCTTTATTTCTAAAGAACTTTAAACAATTATCATTTTTTAACATTAGACACTGAATAATGTCTCTCAAACATCTGTGCTTGTCTAGTTCGGATTTCAACACATTGTCTCCACTGTGGCTCTGTGGAAGCCCCCCAGCGACCCTCAAAGGATAAACGGCATAGATGATGGATGGATGGTTTACCTTCCAGAGGTTTGACGATCTGCAGGCGGTCTGGCAGGTAAGACCTGGATCCTCCCGAGGAGCCACAGGAGTGCCGCGAGCTGCCATTGGAGTAGTTGGTGCCTGTCGATGTTGCCGGGCTGGACGCCAGACTGTTTGGTGTCAGAAAGCCACTGGATCCCTCGCCGTCCTCGCAGTTTGCTTCCAAGGCACGGAGTTTACGCTCACGCTCCACTTCAAAGAAAGGCCGCTCAGAGGAGTGGCTCTGTTGGCGGGCCGACAGACTGCACAAAGCAGCTTCAAGGTCCTGGCCCCCTGGGGTGCCCGGCTGACCCAGACGCTTCGGCCCAACAACACTACCAAGAGAAAAAATAACAATGTTTCACTGCTTCAACCTTACAGAACATTTTAGTGCTAATTATTATACGTCATTTTGCAAATCCATCCTGTTCAAGAAAGTCATTTTAAGTTATTGATAATATCCTACATGTAAACAAATGTAGAACTTGCCATTTGATGTAACAGTGCAGTCACACACACACACACACACACACACACACACA